ATATCCAACACATTCTTGTATAACCTGTAACACCTTGTTAGGTTAATACAAGGTGTCATTTTTGAGCCTCAGTTCCTTGTTGGCAATTCACTATGAATCTGGAAAAGGAAGAAACCAAAGCAACAGCAGGCTTAAGTGGCAAGGAGCTGTTGCATGGCTCACTAATAAGGTGTCTTGGGCACATGTACATCTTTCTAAATGCTGTGTTTCTCTTGAGTTTTTTTCTACTCTTAGCAAAGAGTCAGCTAAAATCCCAGCTGCAAATTAGTGAGCTGACTGGGATTTCTTAAGTTTTCAAACTAACTGTTGTTTATTCATTCTCTTCACAGCTAATTCTCCAAGCATACTTAATGCCGTCTCATACACAAGGAAGTTCATTAAAAAGCATTTAAGGCATTTAGTTTTTCATATAGCTTTTTCTTCTATAACACCCACTACCCCCAATGGGACAAATTAGGGATTCTGACGTCATCATTATCAATTTCTACATTAAGAAACAAAAGATTTACTCTTAAACTTCCTGCCAGTTGGTTTTGTCACTTTTCACATAAAAATTAATAGCACCTAGCGCCCATGAAGTTTATAATATACACCCCTAGAAAAAATACAGAAATCAATCCACATCATGTTAGCCACTCAACAGCATTTGGCACAGGCTGTTCTTGCTTTCTTTATGAAATACACGCCACCCTTGGCTTTCATGATACCACCTCTGCCTTGATTTCCAGCTTCCCTGCTGTTTGCTACAGTTTCCATAGCTTTTCTTGACTGATGAGTAAATACAGATAAAACATTAGGTTCCTGTCTAAACTTTCCCTAGATGATCTCTTCCAGCCTTGTAGTTGCAAGCACTATCCATTGCCAATGACTCCCAGATTTCTTTCTCTGGCCCTGAATTCTTCAATGAGTTTTAATATTTGTATATACAACATCCTACTCACTAACCTCTTGGATCTAACAGGCATATCAACATTACTGTTAAAACAGAACTCATTATTCCCCATCCCTCCAAATTGTTCCTGCTTTGATGATCTCAGCCAGATATGAAAGCTTATATCCCCAGCGCCACGTCTTGACCAGCTCTCCTTGCTCTGCCCAGGAAACTCCTCACCACCTTCTCCCTGTGCACAGGCCTTGTTAATTTCAGCACAGACTCATTCTTGGTTAGGCTTCTTGGGTAATGAGCAGATTCAGGGCCTCTTAGATCTTTTTTATTCCAGTCATCCCTCAGTACTCAAAGGCCCTGCCTTTTATAGCTCTGTTCCCTTCTTTACCACCCTATGGAGGCATGTGAGGAAGGCAACACTCTTGACACTCATTCTTGATCACTCCATTGGTTATCCTATGTGTTTGGTGCACAAAACCTTTTGATGTGACATTTACACTGCAGAGGTTTTGACACCAAGGTTTCACTTGATTGTAAGTAAACAAAAAAATGCAGCAATATCTTGACATAAGCAGAAAAAAGTATCATTGATCCTTCTGTGTGTTTTATTAGCGAACAAGAAATGAAATAAATTTCTTATCCTACTCTATAATTACCTTCATCTTGATCTTTGTGGATATTACAAATATCGCATAAAGAAAATATGGTACAAAATAGCACAATCAAAACTCTCAAACTGAGATGGCTACATTACATATACCAGGATAATAAATAAATGTACTGGTTTCACAAAATCAATTCAGATTTGAAGTAATTTGATAAAATTGCAAAGGTTCGAAATATCCTGGAGTAAAAAGTAAAAAATGCTTTTTAAAAAACTATAACTGAGCCAGGCACTGTGGCTTATGCCTGTAATCCCAGAACTTTGGGAGGCAGAGGCAAGAAGATTGCCTGATTTCAGGGGTTCAAGACCAGCCTGGGCAATTTGGTAAGACCAGCCTGGGCAACTTGGCAAGATCCCGACTCTACAATAAAATAAAAAAATTAACCAGGGGTGGTGGTGCGCTTCTGTAGCTCCAGCTACTTGGAAGGCTAAGGTGGAAAGAACACCTGATCCCAGAAGTTCGAGGCTGCAGTAGCCAGGATCATGTGACCACACTCCAGTCTGGGCAACACAGTGCAACTTCAACTCAAAACCAGACAAACAAAAAACCGTAACAGTAGTCTTATAACTTATAAGCTTTATAACAGTAGTCATAACTATTATTGCCAACTGCTATATATCAACTCTAGCCTTTAAAAGCATTATACATTTTTTTTTTTGAGTTGGAGTCTCACTCTGTCGCCCAGACTGGAGTGCAGTGGCCGCTCCCGGCCACCGTAGCCTCGCCTGCTGGCTTCCGGCGATCCTTCCACCTCAGCCTTCCAAGTAGCCAGAATTACAGGCATGCACTACCACGCCCGGCTGATTTTTTGATTTATTGTAGAGATGAGGTCTCGCTGCCCAGGCAGGTCTCGAACCTGCGGGCTCAGGCAATACACTCACCTCAGCCTCCCAAAGGCGCGGGATTACGGGCTGAGCCACCGAGCCCAGCTAGAGCATTATACTTTTAAAAATAAAATGTACATATAGATAGTGGTTCCAGGTAAATATACAAATAGCTAATGTGAAGAATGTTGTTTTCTCTCTAAAAAATAAGGAAGAAATCTGCCTTTTAAAAAGAAATTAATGTTTTATTTCCTCTCAATCCAAGTGACTTTTCTAATTCTTCTCTCTCTCTCTCTCTCTTTTTTTTTTTTCTTTTATTGTAAAGATATGGGGTACAAACCAGGATTAGGAACATAACTCGTCTACATGCAGGTAAAGTTTGGGACTCTAACTGGTCCTCACTTCCTCTGGTTTAGAATCAGGTACCCTTAGTGATGGTATGTGTCCTCACTCCCCTGGCAGTGTCCTGCTATTGCCAACCCCTCTCTTGTTGTATTGTTCAGGACTCATTTCTGAGTGAAAACATGTGGTATTCAGTTCTTTGTTTCTGTGATGGATCACTGAGTATGATGGACTCTAAATCCATCCAGTTTGCTATGAAGTCCATAATTTTGTCCTTCTTTATGGCTGTGTAATATTCCATTGTGTATATGTACCACATTTTCTTTATTCAGCCCACTTTTGATGGGCAGCAACGTTAGTTCTACATTTTTGCTATTGTGACTAGTGCTGCTATAAATATGTATGTGCAAGTATCTTTTTTTTTTTTTTTTTTTTTTTTGATTTGGAGTCTCACTCTGTCGCCCAGGCTGGAGTGCAGGGGCACACTCACAGCCACCCTAGCATCGACCTGCTGGGCTCAGATGATCCTTCCACCTCAGCCTTCCAAGTAGCCAGAACTACAGGTGCGTGCTACCACGCCCACTTAATTTTTGATTTATTGTAGAGACGAGGTCTCACCAAGTAACCTGGACTGGTCTCAAACCTGTGGGCTCAGGCAATCCATTTGCCTCAGCCTCCCAAAGTGCTAGGATTATAGGCTGAGCCACCGAGCCCAGCTGAATATCAGCCTTTAATGGTTGGTGAAAAACAGTCCAGAAGTAGCTAAGTTTTTCAATGTAAACATACCCTAAAAGACTTTTGACTCTTTCAGTTTCAGCCCGATGGAGGAAGGAACTCTGAGGTAGTTGTTTGAGAAATAAACATGCAAACAAATAAGAACACAAAGGTCATTCCTGTTTTTAAGCCTAAGGATAAATAAGCTGCTTTGGCTAAGGGTAGGGGATATATATTGGCAGGGAAAAAATGCTATTTAGAAAGCTACAAGGTACAGGGTTTTCTTTGCATTGCTGCAGAAGGATGTTAACTCAGAAGTTTCAGATGCGGGAAAATAGACACCAAAACCCAAAGTGAGATGCTAAGTCAGGATTTACAAACTTACAAATTAGGACATAGTTTAATTCCTCCCCCACGTGAAGATATAAAAAGATCTGGAGGAGGCCAAGTGTGGAAACTCATGACTGTAATCCCATAATTTGGGGAGGCCGAGATAAGGGGATCACTTGAGCCCAGGAGTTCGAAACCAACATAGGCAACATAATGAGACCTTGTCTCTACAAAACAATAAAAATAAAAAAATTAGCCAGATGTGCTGGTGTGTATCTATAACCCCAGCTACTCAGACAGCTGAGGCTGGAGGACTGCCTGAGCCCAGGAAGTCAAGGCTGAAGTGAGCCATGATCATGTCACTGCACTACAGACTGGGTGACAGAGTAAGACCTTGACAAAAAAGGAAGGGAGAGAGGGAGGCGAGAGTTGGCATGTTGTTACTCCCTCCCACATCTCCCTCCTCCTAACAGATTGGGGCAAGGGGGCTCTCAGAAAAAAGGGCCTTAACAGGACACTCAGCTTTGTTTGGGTTTCTTGCAGTTTGGAGTGATAGAATGTGCTGATATCAGTATGATGCCTGAGAAATCTAAAGGGTAACTGAGTGGTCTCCTATGGATTTCATGTAGGTCATATAAGAGAGGGGGGCAGTTTATTAGAGTTTGTCCAGAAGACCAGGGTGGACCAACTGCATTACATTTTAAAAATTCTGCTTGATGACTGTGGGAAGTTTTCTTCCCTGGATGTGAAGGAAAACACATATACCCCGGTTGCTAATTGCATTCATCTTGGACCATTGGAAATATCTAGACCAGACGTGAAATTGACGAAATGAGGAGAACAATGCAGAAGGATCAGCAGAAAAATGGAGCATGAACCATGACCCAGTGGTACTTGAAATCTACCCTTGATCTGAACTGTTTGCTTGTGTGGACCAACAGACTTCCTGCTAAGCTAGATTCAACTGAGTTTTCTGGTATTTGCCGTTGAAAGCACTTATTTTTATAATCTTTTATAAATGATTTGGGGAAAAACATCCACAGTCCAAATTTGTGTTAGACTCAGTTGGTCCAAAACCAGGAAAATGCAAAAGAATAAGAATGACAACTTCACTCTGTTCTTAGAATAAACTCTGTCCCTAGGGAAGACATGGACTCTAAATCAAAATGAGACATTAGCTGAAATATGGACTTCTTTTGGCCAGAAGGTAAGAAACAAGGAGAGTCAATTAGGTGTTACCTGGTAATGAACTCTCTGGGAGCCAGAAGAAACTGACTGCAGGTCCTAATGAGAAAATGGGGGAAAAAATCCATACCTTAAAATTAGTTTGAACAGGCTGCCCCACAACTCTATCAACAGAACTCCCAGCTTAACATTATTATGCTCATCTGGAAAGTATCTAACTCACCCAAATTCATAAAGGTTTAGCAAAGAATTTTGCTGTAATAAATAGGAAGTATATCTAATGTGCATCTGAACTTCTGACTTGTGAAGGCAGCTTCTGAAGCCCCTTTAAGTACTTAGAATTTCTTTAGCAAATACATACTGTCATGGTAATTGTTTTTGTACTGATAACTTGCTCAGCAAACAGGAATTTCCATAGACTGCAAAGAGAAAATCACCAACCACCTCCACATTATCACAAAGTGTAAATTAACAGGGTTGAAATTAATGAGGTTTTGCTAGCAGATTCTGAAAGCGGGACTCCCTTTATAAAGTTTTATAACTAAGTTGTCACCAGTGTCATGCCTCTCAGGCTTCCTTGCTAATGAGTGTGGCGATTCTATTTACAAATGTCAGCAATCCTGGGTACCTTTGTCCTCAAACCTGTTTCCCACAGGGCTTCATCAACTTACTCTCCGTGCCCAAGTTACTTTTAAAACTTTTCCTCTTTGTTTTGTGAGTTTTCCCTTCTTTTAAAATCCTACTTTTAGTTGAATACGGGTGGGATAAGGATGCCATTAAGTTGGATAAGTTGGTTTTCAACAAAGTCAATTCATGAGTCATGTAATTTACTACCCTACAGTCTTGTTAACAAAGCGACCCAAGTATTTTTTTTAAAGTTTGGTGCCAATCATGATTCACATTTTTAATTACAGACTTATTGAGTGAGATTCTACATTAAAATACAAACATTATTTTGGAAAATGAGATACTAGAGGTTTTGGAAATACAGATTTGGACCTGCATCGGAGGCTAAAAGTTTACAAATTTTAACTTAAGGAGCTATTTTCAGTCAAAACAACTACATGAAGCCACAAGGATGAAATTTGTTGATGTTCACTCATATCAGTATTCAAAATATGGCATCTATTTCTAAAACATAGTACTTTTTCACATCACTGTATACCTCCCACTTGAAGATATTTCTACCAAAACAGAATATCCAAAGCTAAGTAGCTACAACTTGGAGGTATTTTAAACACTCTCTATCTCCTTTATTTACAATATATACTTATGTATAATGTATTGTCTGGGACAGAGTTGCTTAACAAGGGGTATCTAACAGAATCACCCAACAGCTTTAAAAATACAAATATCTGGGCCCCACCAGAGAAAAGTGACTTTAATATGCATCTTTCATCAAGAAACTATGATAAAGAAATTTCTATTTATACTTTTTTTGCCACTTATGGAACAGAAACAGTAAAAACTCCCGCCTCAAAATGCTGCAAAAAACAGAAATATCAATAATTATAATGATGAGTTTGGGTCTCCTGACTCTGCTATTGCAGTGCTAATTCATGAAAATATCATATTTGGGATCACTTCCTTTCTGATTCTCCATGGTAAGACCAGACTGAGAAAAAATAATAATAAAGCAGAGATTATCCTTTTAAGTTCTGATAAATTCCTATGAAATATATAAGATTTTTCTTTCCTGCAGAAGTTTCATTTTAAAAAATCTAGCTGTCTCTGACAAAAAGTCTGTGCCAGCCACAAAACATTAGATAATCTCTGTTTTCTTTCATTATTTATCAGTGCCTGTTGCAATTCTGTATAGCTCAAAAAATACAGGCATGTAGTCCGGCAAGAAGACAGATGACTCAAGCTACAGTTATAGAACACACTAGAGCAGCAGCCCCCATAGTTGCCCCAATCAGTCCCTCCCCATTCCAACGTTCTGAGCAGGCCAACAGCAGAGTGAGTTGGGGAGGGAGACATGCAGTGTGTGCTTAAAGGACAAGGCCACCAGGTTTCCATTTCCTCCCCAAATGCATCATTTCAGAAGCAAATGTATGGCTGGCAATTGTTAACAAAAATAGAAATCAGAGGAGAATAGATAATTGTCTAAACTCACCTCCTGCAGGCGGTCTATGTACATACGGCAAGTCTCCAAATCACAGTCTCCACGCACAACTAGAATACCCAGAGGTATGGCTAAGGGCAGAGGAAGAAGAGAAATCTAAAGTGACAAATTTGATTTTTCTTGAGTGGCATAAATGTGCTTCTCATGGTTAAGAAACAATCTCATAAATATTATGGGCTTTTTTGGATATTTCCATAAAAAGAAGCAAGCACTTCCTCCATATACCACTTTATGATTTCAATCTCTTCTTGTTTACTACTGTCATACACTTTCCTCACATGATCTGTGTTGCACCTTGTCATCTGCCCTTCATCTCACTGTACCCGGGTGGCCCTGAGATGAAGTTTATTGTCACAGTCATGATGGGACGGCAGAACGGGGAGGCTGCTCATGGCCAGTTGGTAATTTCCGCCTGCATTTGCAATAGGCAACATGCAGACCCAGTGCCAGGGAAGAATTAAAAATGCATGATTCCAGACACTTAACCTCTTTCCCTCCCAGATGCATGGAGCTTCATCTTTTTGTCAATTTATGACAGTTTCCTATTTGTGAGACCAGAGCTACTCAAGGCACTGTTGCTATCTGCTGGCCAACACCACACACAAAATGTTAGGAAGAAAAGAAAAAAAAGAAAAACTTCTAGAAGTGGCACAGCTTAAAAATCCGACTGATTTTAAAGATAGTGAGTGTAAGTGTAGCAACAGCAGGACCTCATGAAACAAATTAGAAAAAAATGAATTCAATGAGTAAAAGATATTTTAAAAATTCTTTGTGAACACCACTATCATATCATCTGCTTGCTAGTTTCTAGTTGGTTAATTCTATATTTTGATTTTTTGTTAGATCATGGACTTCATAGTGCAACTATACTTTCAAAATAAGAAATTTGGCTGGGTGCAGTGGCTCAAGCCTGTGATCCCAGCACTTTGGGAGGCCAAGGTGATTGCCTGAGTCCACGGGTTGGAGAACAAACTGGACAACTTAGTGAGACCTCATCTCTACAATAAAAATCAAAAAATGAGCCAGGTGTGATAGCGCATGCCTGTAATTCTGGCCACTTGAAAGGCTGGGATGGAGAAATCACCTGAGCCCAGCAGGTCAAAGGTGGGGTAGCCGTGAGCCTGCCGCAGCACCCCTGCCTGGGCAATGGAGTGAGACTCCAACTCAAAAATTTAAAAAAAAAAAAGGAAATTTGTATTATATTTATATATATTATAGTTCCTTAAGTTGTGAGAAGGCTATTTTTCAGTATTACAGGAGTCTTATGATTATATTTGCAGTAAGTTCTATTCACTAAAACCGCTGTGTGATATCCTATATAGGCAGCAGTAAATATCACACAGTGATTTTAGTTAGGTTTGTCTGTCATCATATTGTTTGACTTCTATTAGTCCCAGCTGTTATTTGTTCTCATTTCTTCTTTTTCTGCTTTTTTTTTTAGCTTTTATTCCCCCTTTCACTTTTTCTGCTTTTGTTTAGCTTAGTCAAGTGATGTTTATAATTTAGTTGTATATTTCCTTTTTTGGCGCAATAGCTCTAACTCTTTGCTTTGTGACGTTAGTGATTACTTTCAGATCTATAGTATATGATTTTAACTTATCACAGTCCACTTTGAAGTAATATTATACCACATCACGTATGGTATAAAAAAATTATAATAGTATACTTTTATCTCTTCTCTCCCAGCCAGAGTCCATCTAGATCTGTTGGATTATAGTTTTCATTAAGCTTAGAAAGTTTGGTGACATTTTCTTCTTCAAATTTTTGTATCTGTCTCTCTTTTCTTTATAAATCTTTCTTTTTTCTTTATAAATCTTTTCTTTTGTGATGTTTAATCTGTGTTTATTTCTATCAGTGTAGTTTTCATCTCTGACATTGTAATTTTCATCTCTACAAGTGTAGTTTGGTTTTTAAAAATGTCTTGGATGGTTCTACTTATCTTCTTGAGTGTTATTTTAGGACACAGACGAGTTACTTAGAAACAGTTTGATCCTTTCCATTCTTATTTTTGTGATTTTGGCTAATTCCTCACTCTTGAGACAAGAATTTTCTGATTATTCATTGTCCTGTAATGTGTGAATTTTTCTAGCCTAGCTCATGGGAATGGGCACTCTTCTTGGCACTCTGTGAGCATCAGGTATGATTTCCTCTATTTCTTTTTCTCATTTTAATTTTAGATTCACAGAATACACATGTATGTTTGTTACACGGACACACATGGATTGGGTCTCAGGTGACCCATGCCCCAGACAGGAACATTGTACTCAATAGGTAATTTCTGAATTCCAGTCCCTCTTCCCCATAATTGGTGTCTGCAGTGTCTATTATTTCCATCTTTGTGGTCATTTAGCTCCTGCATATAAGTAGAACATGCAGTGTTTGGTTTTCTGTTTCTGAATCAGTTCACTTAGGATGTTGTTCTCCAGTTCCATCCATATTGCTGCAAAGGACATGATTTCATTGTTTTTTATAGTTGCCATAGGCTATATTAAATGTTTTAACTATTTAGGAGAGAGGGGCTAATTCTGGCCAGAGGGTAAATTTTAGGCTCTCTGAAAGATCTGGAATTCATTTGATTTTTTAGCTAGAGGAGCAAGGTTGGTAGAGATGAAAAAAAAGGAGTTTATTTCTCAATATTATCTTCTAGATTGTTTCTACTAAAGAGACCTAATTAATAGCACCAACCCATTCCTTAAGGTTTCTAACATCCTGCATAAATAAAGCTCTAAAGCATCCCCATGGAAGCCTGGTAGTGAGTGTGGGTAGTTTACCTTCACTTCAACAATGCCTGATAGAAAAATGACAGATTTTCAACGAGTGTAAAAAGAGGAAGGAAGACATACTTGGGGCCTGTTAAAACATAAAACAGAAAGTTTGTCTTTTGATGCAAGTAGACTTTTCAGAGTAGGAAAAGAAATCAAGGTAAGCAACAGAATCAAGTAAATAGAAGGACGAGGAACACTGTAAGTGTCAGATATTTGGAGGCATAATAATTTGATAAATAATAATATTTTCCCCTTCTTTTATTTTTTATTTTTATTTTTATTTTTTGAGTTGGAGTCTCACTCTGTCACTCAGACTGGAGTGCAGTGGCCACTCCCGGCCACTGCAGCCTTGACCTGCTGGACTCCGGTGATCCTTCTGCCTCAGCCTTCCAAGTAATTGGAACTACAGGCGTGTGCTAACACGCCAGCTAATTTTCTCGCCAAATTGTCCAGGCGGGTCTCGAACCCACAGGCTCAGGCGATCTAGTCACCTTGGCCTCCCAAAGCGCTGGGATTATAGGCTGAATCACTGAGCCCAGCAATTTTCCCCGTCTTTTAAAAGACAAACAGAAGCATCAAAAACGTTTTCAGTGTGGCAGTCAAACATCTTTGAAGGGAAAGGAAGGGAAATTCAATAGGGAGATCTTTTAAAAGTACTGATTAATCATCCTCAGCTAGAGGATTAAATACATCCAAATAAGGCAATCCACTAAAGTAAGAGCAGAATAAGAATGAGGACTTATGAGGAAAAGCTAATATTTTGGCACCTAGATAGTACGTTAAAGGTCCTGGAAATGAAATATAGCTTATAATTAACATGAGAGTCCACATTGGAATCTTGTTTGATGATATTTTCTATTCATTTTACATGTACAAATATAGAGAAATATAATTTTTTTTTATTTGGGGGTCTCACTCAATCACCTAGGTCGGAGTGCAGTGGCACAATCACAGATCACCGAAGCAGCAACCTCCTGGCCTCAAATGATCCTCTCACTTCAGTCTCCCAAGTAGCTGGGACTATAGGCACATGCTACTATGTGTGGCTAATTTTTTTTATTTTTTTGTAGAGATGAGGTTTTGCTATGTCACCTAGGCTGATCTTGAACTCCTGGATTCAAGCAATCCTCTCACCTTGGTCTCCCAAAGTCCTGGGATTACAGGCATGAGCCACCAGCACCCACTGAAGAAATAGATGTTAATTGATATTTATCTATTTACTTAAATTAGGAGACATAGTTTATAGAAATGCAAAAATCCTGTCAACACCTCTGATTTCTCTCTATTATCAATGTTTGGTGTTAATCTGGTCCACGTATAAATTCAATGTACTTGGTAGCAGTTATTTTAAACAACAATCAGAGACTGTGTTCCAGACTTGGAATCAAGAAAGAATAGCTAAGAAGTTATCAAAGATGTGTCATTATTTTCTACTATGGGTATAAAATCAACAACTTTGCCTATTTCTCAAGGAGCTAAGTGAGAGTAGCTGCTTTTGATTGAGCAATCCTTAGCTATGAATTGGAGGGGGGAAAGAGGGTTCTCTACCACAATTGAATGGCATAATTACCAACAAATGTCAAATTATTCTAAGAGATGACAACATGCAGTAGAAAGAATTCACTCCTGGATCCAAATCCCAATAGCACTTTGGTTTTACAAATTACTCAAGTCAGCTGTTTGGTCTTGGAAGTTACTCAATTCCTTTTGAGCCTTGGTGACTATGGTGACTGTGGTATTTAGAATAGGTAGCATACAGGATTTTGTGAAAATTCAGTGTAACACTATATTTTTTTGTGAAGATTCAATGCAACACTGTATTTTAGAATGAATTACTGAAACATCAATTTTAGTTTTCCCTCTTTCTTTTCATTATCTTTTGAGCATCTTTAGCTAGAAAATAGATATACCAAATCATCTATCTTTTTTGTTTGTTTGTTTGTTTTTTGAATTGGAGTCTCACTCTGTTGCCCAGACTGGAGTGCAGTGTCTGCTCTCAGCCACTGCAGCCTCGACCCACTGGGCTCTGGTGATCCTTCTGTCTCAGCCTTCCGAGTAGCTGGAATTACAGGCGCGTGCTACCATGCCCAGCTGATTTTTTTTTTTTTTTAATTTATTGTAGAGATGAGGTCTCACCAAGTTGCCCAGGCGGGTCTTGAACCCGCGGGCTCATGCAATCCACTCACCTCAGCCTCCCAAAGCGCAGGATTACAGGCTGAGCCACCGAGCCCACTCATCTATCTTTTAATTTATCATAATACTATAACAGTTAGCTAGTAGTGGTTTCATAAATTATATTACTGTTT